TACCATTCTGTGCTTGTTTGTCCCTTCTTCCTGTCCTCTCAAACCAGCCGGTCAAAGCAGATTTCCACTGTCTCCTTAGCGCTTGCTCAGGGTGGGAGACTGCAGCGAAGTGAAGATTCAACCAGTCTGCTGGCTTCTTTAGATAGAGAACTTTACTAATTGGCTTTTCTATGTATGTAAATGTTCCTGTAAAGTGCCCTGAGACAACGTTGTTGTGATTTGATGCTATATAAATAAACTGAATTGAATTGCTCAAAGACAGAATATAAAAACATGACTTTAAAAACAGGGTAAGATATGTTAAAACAGGTGAGTTTATCATCATGACAACAGGTGATGAGTTCAGTTTCAGCTTAAACAGTCAGTAAGAATCTCTGTCCCTTGACGACATTTTTTTCTTATTGAGATCCCAAATAGAAAAGTCAGAATGGCACATTTTTATGTCGTAGTTCTTCCTGCTGTTGTCAGATGTTAAACACATAAAACTAACTTTTCCACTGTCATTTTAAAGTCTGGGTGGCACGGTGGCGCAGTTGGTAGAGCTGCTGCCTCTCAGCAAGCAGGTTGCCCCGCTTCAAACCCTGGTCCAGGGGCCTTTCTGGGTGGAGTTTGCATGTTCTCTCCGTGCATGCGTGGGTTTTCTTCGGGTGCTCCGGTTTCCTCCCACATACCAAAAACATGCATGTTAGACTGACTGGTAACTCTAAATTGTCTCTAGGTGTGAGTGAGAGAGTGAATGGTTGTTTGTCTCGTTTGTCTCTATGTGGCCCTGTGATGGACTGGAGATCTGTCCAGGGTGTCCCCCGCCTCTCACAGTGACTGCTGGATATGAGCAGCAGTGACCCCCGTGACCTAAAAAGGAAGAAGTGGGTAAATATGGATGGATGGGTGCTCAAAGGGAAGTGAAGTAATATTATCTTTGATCTACTTTCCCAAAGCATCTCATTATAATTGAGTAATTGTCACTCGGGGCATTTTTATTTGTAGCCTCTCCTGATAACTTAATTCATGGTTTAAATGATCTGGGATGCCTCCTGTCAAACACGTTAATAACATTTTTTAAACTCCAACTGAAATCTGGAGCAGGAACCATGGCCAGACAAAAGGCTTCTCAACAGTCCCCTGGCTTTTTGGCTCGAGCTGCAGTCCTTCTCTTGAAATAGCGAGAAGTGAAGCACATAATTTATGCAGTATTTTTCTATTTTAAAGAAAGTGGGTTAGATCAGCTTCCAGATGGCATTGGGGTTTAGTAAGAATGCCTTCCTCTGTAACGCAGCGTACCACTGTCTGGGTAATGGTAGGGTTTGTAGCATTTCTGCCAAAAGGCTAAACCCAACTGATGAGGGCTTTGGAGGAATGGAGAAGAAGAGTTTGGAGAAGGAAAAAGAAAACAACGAAATGTGTTTTGTGGTGCGGTATATGTAATGGAGACAAAAAGCTTTTAAAACAACCAAACACCTGATCTAAAATAGTTTACTTATTAAAATTCTGAATATTTTGAGCAGCTCCTGTCAAATATTCTTTAAAAATGTAAGTACTTAGGAAGCCATTTCTACACTTCTTGTTGACTGAGCAGTAAACTGAGGAGGGGAAATAGAACTGAACGAAGACTGATTTAATTTCTCAAAAATATTTCCCATGATTGAGGCTGACATGTATTGAGTCTGGATTTGATCATGAAATGTAATCAATATCCAGAGCAGGTAATTAATAGATTTTCCACCAGCTGCTTTGTGTTAACATGTTTTGTTGTTGAACAAGATGAGCACGGTGGAATGGTCTGCACTGAGACCGAGACGTGATCAGCCCACTGAGGATAAAAAAATTTACCAAATCATTTTAGCAGTGAGCGCAGCTAATGCTCACCATGACGATGTGTACTTCAGTCAGCAGCATCACGTTAATGGACTTAACACTTGATATTAGCATGTGTAAAACATTCTCCTCTGCAAATGACCTTATATAACAGAGAGGGGGTTATTTCATGATTACTGCCATTATTTTGAAAATGGGTTTAGGGGTGGGTTTTGCAGTTTTGCCATGTGTGGATGGATAAAAACCCAAAAGATGCAACACATCTGGTCTGAGAACTCATTCCATTTTGGCTGAACTGTGATTTAAAAGATTTACTCTGTCCACTGCAGACTAGTGTGGACGGTTACCATTTTGTCATCTTGTCATAAGTTTTTTAACTAATGGTTTATTTAAACAGATCTCTAAATAGATGTTTTTGTTTGTTAGTTTGTTTTTTCTGAGAGAACAGTCTCTGGTTTCCTTTCAGTCAGAGTCAACTATCAAGGATCACTTGATCACATTATACTGGCTGGACTACTGGAAGTCTTGGAACACCAAAACCAAACTGACGGTGGATTTCTGTAGTAAAATACTTTAATTTGTTCAACTCGAACAAAAACATATACATATGGGATGATTTTGTTTTTCTTTTTGTGACAAGGATGGATAAATGAGATCATCAGAGGTACAGCACAGGTTGAAGGACTGGGAGATAAAAGTTCAAGAGGCCAGACTGAGATGGTTTGGACATGCCCAGAGGAGGGAGAGTGGGTATATTGGTAGAAGGATGTTAGAAATGCAGCTGCCTGGAAAAGACAAGAGGAAGGCCAAAGAGGAGATATATGGATGCAGTTAGAGAGGACATGGATGTACGTAGTGAGGACAGAGAGACGAAGAGACAAGAAGAAAGAAGTTTTATTTTAATTTAAAAGTTATATATCTTTTGTGTGAGAGAGAGCTCTGTTTTTTATTTTGTATTCAATTTTGCTTTTAGTTCAGATTCTTTCAGCACTCTGCCTTCTTTCTCTCGCTTTGTTTTGCTGCTCTTTCTTGAATTAAACAAAGAACGAGCTCACTTGTTCCTGTTTTTTTATTTCTACGCCACCTTTTTTTTTTAGGATCGCCCCAATGCTGGGCAGAACTCCTCCCAGAGCGATGGCCACTCCTCCCAGCAGCCTGCCAAACTCCTCGTCACTGCGGACAGCCAACTGTAGGTGCCGAGGGACGATCTTGTCCTTCCACTGTCATGAGCCGTGTTTCCTGCTAGTTCCAGGATCTCAGTGGTCAGGCACTCGAGCACAGCTGGCAGGTAGATGAGAATGCATCCACAGAACATCCTTTCAACTCATTTGAGATTTGGGGCTGTAGTTGAGATATTATTTGAGCTTTTGAGATGTTAATCAGCTGCTGTTGGTTATAGAAAACTGCCTTGTTGCCATGGTTACGCATCATAACAAATGTCCAAAACTAAAAAAGTTTCAGTAAAAATCCTTCCAGCTGCACAGCATCTGATACCAGAGGAAACAATCATCCAAAAAATGTGATTTACATCCAGAAAAAGAGGAATTAAAGTTTCCAAAAGCAAAATCTCAGAATGAAAGTAACAGAGCTGCTCCAACATGCAGCCACCTTGAGCGGTGCAATTCTACAATCTAGAAATGAGTTGCCGAGGCGTTCTGCGCTATTTAAAAACTCCAAGGACCGACCACACGAAAAACAAAACGGCGTTAATCTACCAACATGCGTCCCACAAAACGGGCAAAACGCAACTCGATTCGTGTCCATGTTGGGTCAAAAAATAATAATTCTGTATTGATGGAGTTGCTTTCTCTGACTATCAATGTAACAATAAATTTTTGTGAAACAAACTACTGCATCACTACTCTCCTAACTTAATTAGGAGAGAATATATTCTGAAGGACTTTAGTAAAGAAGACATCAAAAAGATCAGAACTAATTTTATATCATTTCCGGTTCCTCCTAAAGCCAAAGAAATTCAATTTAAAATCTTAAATAGAATTTATCCTACTAAGGAATTTTTAAGGACAAAATTTAAAATGGACACTGGGAACTGTGTTTTTTGTGAGACAGAGAGTGAGAACCTGGAACATCTTTTCTTTGATTGCATGATAGTTCAGCAATTTTGGCTTGATTTTAAAATGTGGATCGAATCCAAAGGGATTCCGCTACTTACTCTCACTTTAAAAGAAATTAAATTTGGGTTAATTAATAAGATTGGAAATAATGAATATGCTATCAATAATTTGATTATATTAGCTAAACATTATGTTCATAAATGTCGCTTTTTCAAATGTAAACCTTATGTGAACCACTGGAAGAATGGGCTAAAGTCCTATACAAAATCATTAAAATATGTAAATGGGAAAAATGCTGACAAATTTCTTAGTTTCTTAGTTAATTTCAATTTCCTCATATAATTTTTTTTCTCTTTATCCTTCTTTATTTCTTTTATTTCCATTGTGTTATGAATCACCTTTTGTAACTTTCGATTGTAAGATTTTCAGAGTCAGAGTCAGAGTGAATTTGAATTTTGTACTTTTTGTTGTGTATTGTTATAGTTAAATAAAGTTAAAAAAAACAATCTTGGGTCAAAATGGCCGTTTCGTGCTTCCATCATCACATCTGGGTCAGCTTCTGAGTTAGTACATTCCCTTTCCGGTTAATTTTGTCATTTGTAAATTTGTTTTTCTGAAACGTTAATTTGTTCTGGATTTGCAAAAGTGTTTTACGAATTGTTGATTTGTTTTCTGAAATATAAATTTGTTGCACCTCCCGGCCACCGTATTAATGGGACTAACCTGTCACTAAAGGTTGAAGGAAAAAAACGAGCTCGCTTTTTTTCCCGCCTCTTCACTTTCGCCACATCCAATATGGCGGCGACGTCAACGTACGACGTCCAATGAGGCGTTTACGTGCTGGCAGCGCTTGAGTCGGACGGAGGAGTCTCTCTGTCTCCATCTGGTGGACACTCCACCTGTTTGTCCACACTTGGACCAAGTGAAACAAGCTCTGAGACAAAGGCAGCACGAAGAACCGGCAGGAGTCAGGACGGAAGTGAAGAGCTCACCTCCTAGCGAGCTCATCGGAGCGTGACGCGGCTGAGCACACCGAGACACCCAGAGAGGGAGACACCCAGAGAGGGAGACAGGAGGAGCAGGTATCAGGCTGGACCCGGAGGTGTGGCGGGAAACAGCTGAGACTCGGAGGAGGAGGGGGGATGTGTAACACCCGCACACGGGCGGCTGTCTCACCTCCTCCTGCTCCAAGCCGAGACGCAGGTGTCTGCTGAGCCTCCGCGCGCGGACACCACGTTCAATGAGTCGCGCGCTCGCTCCTTTGTGCGCCGCGGGTCGATGTGACGCCGGCTCCACAGCAGCACACCGAACCCGCTCCAAGGAGACACGCTGGACCCGCTGAGCACCATGGCTGACCAGGTAGGGACACGCTCACGCCCACCTCGTGCGCGCTGCACAACCCACGACCACACGGCTCGTTTCTCTCAGATTGAGCCTTACTGATCTTGTTTACAGAGAAGTCCGGGATTATTCTGAACCTTCTTATTAAACAGACTTTAAGTTCTTCACATTGTGCCACACCTTCTCCTGGTGTGCCTCATCTCACACTCAGACACGTGGCCACGTGGGCTTTGTGTCATTAACCATATGCTGGTTATTGACACACACCTAACAACTACACACACACACACGCACTTTGGGATTAATTGCCGCATGATGAGTTGTACGGCTCCAAACACTCAGAAAAGCTGCTTAAAGACAGCAGGGCTGCAGGAAGTGGGTCGTAAAGATGCAGGAGTAAAAACTGTGCCTGTATTAATTTTGCATTGTCTCGTGTTGTTTGCCCCAGTTTCAGACTGCCTGGAGAAGGAACAGATTAACCCCTGACACCCTGGCTCAGCACGGCCTCTCTCTCTCTGCAGGCTGCACACCCTGAAGGCACTGACTAATTGATTAGCTCCTTCAATTAACCTAATTGGGCTGCCTGACTGATCCTCCTGTGTGTGCATGCATGTGCTGCTTGTCACAGTGTCTAAACATCTTAAGGCTCCACACCTCAGATGCTTTTTGTTTCAAGACATTCCAACACCTTCGTGTGCACATGTGTGCAACATGTCAGAGTATCAGTACAATCAGACACAAGTCAGCTGTCAAATCAATCGGTGCATGTTTACAATGAACAGTCATATTGTAGCACTGCACTGAGCAGCAGTGAGGAAATGTATTATTCTGACAATACAGTTGTCAACCATGTACGGTTTTAATTGTCACAATTTTATGAGGTTTGTGCTCAGGATGCAGACTGAACACAAAGAGCTTTATTTAGCTTTTTATAAGAGCTTAATTTGTGTTGTTTTTTTAAAAGGCTGTGATGTCGGCAAAGCTACAGAACCAGGATAAGTCTCAGAAGGAGGTACAAATAGCCAGGAGAAGGCACAGATGAAACCAGATATGGTGGGAGGTAGGGGGTGTGAATCACCAGCTTTACCACGATACGATATTATATTGATATGTTTGTATGACGATACGATTTTTCTCGATATCACAAATAGGGGTGCAGATAAAAATCTATTTTTCTAAGAATCTAGATTCTTAGTCCTGGCGATTCTGAATCGTTTCTAAAGGTCCATAAATCGATTTAAAAATGCATTTAAGTTTTTATATTTTTTCCGCTCCTACTCCCCGTTTAGCCACCGTAGAATTGAGCCGTGTAGGCCACCGTACAGCAGCTAGTTAGCCAGCTCCCTTATCTGAATGGAGCCTGTTAGCATGGAGGAGGGAGACAGCGCGATTCAACCCGCTGCTTCGTCTTTAAAAATAATTTCAGATCCTACAATGTTCCGGGGGAAGACAGAGCTTGACAAGAGCGCAGTTGTTTACAAGAAGTGTAAAATAAAATTGCGGTACAGTATTTTGGAACTACAACAAAATGCGTGAAAGATGAACGTGAAGCAGCCGACAACGATACAATTTATGGTTTATAAATGACATTTCAGAAGAGATTTTGTGCAAACTTGCACAGGTTTTGAAATTTTGTTAAAGATTTACTAAATATAAATCAATATGGTTAAGACTGTGAAGTCTGTATATTTCATATTAGTTTAAGTTTTGAAAATAGAACAAATGTTAGAGAAATATGGTTAAAAATAACTTAGGTCTGTATTTTATGTTGAGTTAAAGGTTAATGTACTATGTATGCTAGGCTGAAGTCTTTGTTTACTTTTATATTTATATAGTTAGAATTATTTGTCTGTGATGGACTGGAGACATGTTGTCCCCCACCTCTCACACAGTGATGGCTGATATGGGAACCAGTAACCCCCGTGACTCGAAAAGGAAGAAGTGGATAAAGATGATGGATGGATTATTTGTTCCTAGATTTTATTTATTTTATTCTTTAGAAAAATTCAGGCAACTAAGCTAACCTAATACTGGTAATTTAAGTTACAGAATTTTATGCACTCCTGTATTTTTTTCCTATTTTTGGTATAAATATAAAATGAATAAAAAATATTTGATAATGTAAGGAACCTAAAATTATTGTTTTAAATAAATGTTCTAATTAGTTACATTGTTGTTTAATCTTTTCAACTTGTCAGTTACATATACATTATAACTTAAACTAAATTTATGACCATTTCAATAGAAAAATCGTTTATGAATTGAAAATCGTTTCCGAATCGAAAAATCGATTTTGAATTGAATCGTGACACCAAAAATCGGAATCGGATCGCCAGACACAGAGATTCGCACCCCTAATCACAAAGTCTGTCTTATGATTTCCATTCGATTCACAAGTCTGCGATCAATATATCGCAATATCAAATGCCCATCTCATTTACATATAAATAAAAAAATAAAAAAATTCAAATATGATTTAACCATGTTATTTCTGTTATTACAGGCATTTAAATAAAAACATTTTTTCTTAATTAATGAAAAAATAAAAATAAATGACCTGTTCAGTGTAGTCTCACATTTCTCATGTTTAAGTGCATTTTTTTAAACCAGTTAACTTAAAAGTGCCCTGATTACCTTTCAGTTATAAAGAAACAATAATAGATATTGTGCTTACATAACATACTGTGTTTCTTCTTCAGGTGAACAAACAAATTTGTTGTTTCCCGAGTATTTGAACTCGCCTGGCACCTGTTGCGTACGACATGAGTTCTGTCTGTTGAGCCGTCCTTCTGTCGGAATCCAAAATATTTCCAGTGTTGATTTAAATCCAGCAGGAGAGTGAATTTCATTATCTGTGTTTTCTGCCTCGTCTGCCATGTTGCTGAGGCGGCCGCAGAGCGCAGCTGTGCATGGAAATGGTGACATAGATGTGACTTGGGAATTTCAAAATAAAAGCATATTTTAAAGACGACGATATGAATCGATGTTTTAGTTTGCCACGATATAATCGAATTATTAATCATTTAATTGATATATTGATTTAAATCGATGTATTGTTACACCCCTAGTGGGCGGGAACACATAATGCACCACTGGACTGAGCGAATGTAGAGGAGCTGAACAGACAGAGGCTCAACAGCTGGGCTGAATGAGGTAGGGGGCCGGTGTGAGTGGGCGTGGCAGGACTAAGGAGGAGGAGCTGAACTGTGGGAGACTGATCCATCCATTATCTTCTTCTTGTTCCAAAGTCTTATCTTGGGGCAGCAGCTTGAGCAGGGAGGTCCAGACATCTCTTTCCACAGCCACTTCCTCCAGCTCTTCTGGGAGGACTCCAAGGTGTTCCCAGGCCAACCGAGAGACATAGTCTCTCCAGCGTGTCCTGGTTCTTCCTCGGGGTCTCCTCCCAGTCAGACATGACCAAAGCACCTCCCTAGAGAGGCTTCCAGGGTTCATCCTTACCAGGTACCTGAACCACCTCAACTACCTCAACTGGTTCCTCTCGATGTGGAGGAGCAGCAGTTCTACTCAGAGTCTCTCCTGATGACTGAACTTCTCACCCTGTCTCTAATGGAGAGTCCAGCGACTCTGACACTCCTTTCAATCATCTGTATCCACAATCTCATTCTTTCGGTCACTACCCAGAGTTTATGACCACAGGTCAGGGTAGGAACGTAGACCGACTGGTAAACGAAGAGCTTCACCTTGCAGCTCAGCTCGCTCTTCACCACAGTGGACCGGCACAGAGTCTGCAATACTGCAGACACTGCACCAATCCATCTATCAATCTCACGCTCCATTCTTCCCTCATTCGTGAACAAAACCCCGAGATACTTGAACTCCTCCACTTGAGGCAGAACCTCATCCTCGACTCGAGTACTGATCATTTTCTAGCCCAACAGATATTTTTTTTTATCCTGCTTGAGAAAATCCAGAAGGAAAACGGTATGAGGCCACAATGTTAACCGCTACTCCACTGTGCTGCCCACCACATAATATAGTGTGTGAAATTATACAGTTTGCTGCACACTTAATACTACCACACTCATTTCTGTACTATACTGTAATAACATAAAATGATAAACATTATACTATAGTCTTTATACAACAAAACACTAAGCATTAGTGTGTATCAGATTTATAATGTACGTCTCATACACGGCCACATATACATTTATTTTATACAACAGAATACGGTAAAACAACATTACAGGACTGTAAAGAACATTACGATGCACCAGTTGTACCATGGTACTGTGGCAGATACCACTCCGAAGGATTTCTCCAGGTCTTCCAGTTTCATCCCACAGTCCGAAAGCATACACGTTGGTTTGATTGATGGTTCTAATTTAGCTGAAGGTGTGAGAGTGAGTGTGCAGGTCTACCTGTCTGTCTGCGTTAGCCCAGTGATGGACGGGCGACTTATCTGTGGTGTATCCACCTCTTCGTACTCTGTGTCAGCAGGTGTAGCCTCCACTTCATCACCATGACTCCTTAAAGATTAAACCAGCACGGGTGATTTATGGAGAGAAATATTGACTGGTCTGTAGGCCACCTCAGGTCCTTCACTATAGCACTGAAGACTACATTATGATCTGTTGTACAACAACCTCTGTGCTCTGCTTCTGCCATGCTCATGTGATTCATTAGCTCTGATTTGCTTAACGGATGCCTCTCTGCAAAAAGCATACTGAGCTACACCAGAGCAGGTTTTCACTCCATTTACACCTGGCGGTCAATCATTCTAATTCAGTCTACTGACGACCCCTGAGAGTAGAGCTTAATTTAGACCGAGGTGACATTGCTAGGCTTTTGCTGAATATGTCAAACTCTAAATCACTGTTGCTTATCTTGAGATAAGCTGGGAGACCTTCCTTAATGGTGATACTAAACCACATGGTGTTTCAGTTTGCTCCAGTTTCTGTGCCATCCCCCATTTAATGAAGTGCCAATACTGTCATTAGCTGTGCCACAGGCAGACTGAGCCTGATTCCCAGTGGAGCCACTGGAGGTGGATTAATTGCTGCATTAATATTGATGAGGGTCGTCTATGACTGCCCTGCTGTGGTTTCTCTCGCTCGCACGCACGCACGCACGCACGCACGCACGCACGCAAGCAGTCTTTTCTGCCAGACTATTGTTCTGGAGGTATATGTGTATATATATATATATATATATA